GGGGCTGCCGTAGCCAAGCAGAGCCAAAACGTAGCAGGTCAGAGTATTTATTGTGCACTGGCATATGCCTGGAGCGGGGAACGGAGCCACGCTAGAGAAACTGAAGGAATAAATAAATAAATATTGACATTGTTCCACACCTGTTTAGCCTCTGGAGACCAGTGATTTGTGGGACCATATGTCGGACAAAATGAGACTGTTCCTTGATAATTGTAAATGCGGTGACCCCTCGCAAACTGGATATTAAAAATATTAAGTAAATGGCACATTTTAATTATACAGTAAAGAGGCTGTTCACCATTAAAAGACTGCAGCTGTCAGGAGGAACTGATCGTATGACAGGAGGTAACACTTATTTGGTAACAGACCTTGGTAAATGACATCCCAAATGATCTCTAGATGCTCAAACACATTCAGTTCTGACTTGGGTTTAACCATGAGGCTCCGGTGCCACCGTCTTTCCGCAGAGAAAATTTGTATCTGTTCCTCATATACTATAGGGCTTGTTTGTTTTTTTGTTGTTGTTTTAATCTGCTTTGCAGTATTTAAATTTCAAATGAAGCGTTATTAAATGAGAACCTGTAAACGACGGAGTTTGGAATTAGAAGTCAACACATTTGTTACTCTTTTTGCCAAAGGTATTGAGTAAGTTGCATAATTACCACAGTATTAGATCAGCTTTGTCAACATAAACACGGCTTCCTGTCGGCTCTGAAAGTGCCGCTGGTGAACGGCCGAATGTGTCGACTCCAGGGAATAGCAGCCCAGGAGGCGCCGAGAGCATCCGCGACGCCTTACGAAGTTGCATAAGGAAATGGAGACAGGCAGCGGGTCGTCACCAGCAGAAACGCCCGACACCCGCAGGAATATGCTCCTACCCCCGCAGTGGGCGAGAGAAGTTGCGTGCAGTTTCTGTACCTTCCCGCCTGCCTCTTGTGATCCGACCTCGTGACAAACGTGTGACGGTGAAGCAGCAGCCCCTGTGGGCTGATCTTTTCGCGATCCAGAAAACCCTTCCATACACAGGGTTTGATTCCCTCCCCCTGTCTCCGCTTCTGCGAACTGCACGTTCCTGGCCTCACATGGTGCCGATCCTGTGGTGAGGCACTTGCAGAGTCTGAAGGTTGGGGCACGTGAAATAAGGAGCTGGAAGAAAGCACGCTGCTATTCCGTTGGAAGCGAAGGGGAGTGTAGGCCCATAGAAGACTTCTTCCTTCCCCTCCTTGCTAACGTCCAGCACCTGCAGGTCAAAGTGCACAGAATGTGAATGGTGAGGCACTGAGACAGGCTGCCCAGAGAAGCTGTGGATGCTCCATCCCTGGAAGTGTTCAAGGCCAGGCTGGATGAGGCTTTGAGCAACCTGGTCTAGTGGAAGGTGTCCCTGCCCGTGGCAGGGGGGTTGGAACTAGATGGTCTTTACGGTCCCTTCAAACCCAAACCGTTCTGTGATTCTAGGAATATTTCAGGGATCACAGAAGAAAGCTGGAACAAATCTGCTGGCACACACCATACACATGTCCTGTTAACCCCAACAGCAAGGAAGCTTCGGATAATTTCTAGATTGCACTTATGGAGCTGGTGATCTACTGCTGTCCTCATCACCCCAGTCCTACACCAGCTCGGACACGCAGCAGCCGGCAGTGACATTGGCTCCTGCTTCCTGGCAGGGAACGCGCAGCCACACAAGTGGCTACCGTCACCCCCAAGGATGAAGCCTTTGCCAACTTGGTCCATAGGGAGCAAGAGAGTTCTGTTGAAGCTGGAAAGGCCAAATAAATGAATGACTTAAAGAAAATGAAGATATACAGAAAATGTGGATTTTTTCTTCCCAAGGAGACAGCAACCTCAAAGGTGCTGAATTTTAAGATAAAAGGGCTAGTTTTTCTGGTTAAAGCCAGGCACGTTGCCAACAGCTGAGAAGGGGCAGCACGCACGGCTCTGCCAAAGCTCTCATTACTCTTCTTTCCCCCTTAACGCAGGGACCGTCTCAGGCAGGCTGCTGGATCACAGCCAGCTCGGGCATATGCACAAATGCCCACTACAGAAAGCAAGATCCCAGGGTCATTGTCACTGTCACCAAGCAGTATTTAAACCCAGGTGCAATACTGAAAGGTACCTGCTGATTACAAACCAGCATGTACGGCCAACACCAAGATACCGTGCTATTGGTCTGCTGAAGCACTGTATTTCAGCCAGTGTTATCCAAGCTTGAAGGAATTTTTCCACTAACAGCTGTTGGTTACCAACAATGTAGTAAAACACACAATTACACTATGACCAGAACATGGTTTTAACTCCTTAGCTTGCATGATCTATTCTTCAGAAACTCGTGGTAATACGTGTCCACTGTTAAGACCAGCAGCTCGACGTGCGATACATTCCCGTCTTACGCTAAGTCCAACTGCTAGCCTCACGGGGCAGTCTGGAGGTTAAATCCTAAGATCCTTCGTTGGAAGCTAAGGAAAATACTGTTTCTTAGTCAAAGTGCAGAAGGTGAGATACAGACAATTTCTGTCTGTAGGTGCCCAGCCAGTCACGAAGCCATGGCCATGATGCAGATTTGCTTCGCTCAGAAAAAATGCGGAAAGATAAGAATTCCTGATTTTTGTACATGGATCTGCAGGCAAGCTGCTCTTACACGAGATGAGAGAGAGAGCAGAAGAGTTTGCTGGACAGGCTGTTGCCTACAGCAGGGATCAAAAAACTGCCATTGGAGCTTTGAAGCGGTAAGCGCTGGGGCGGGTGGCAGGCTGGCTGAACTCTGTCAAAGAAAAACTCGTTAACTCCGGCTGCTCTTCAGGAAGACAACTTGGAGAGGGGAGAAAAACCCCAAATCACAAGATGGGCTGAAAAACTGTTAGCCCATCATCCCTTTCTGCAACCCTCTTCCCTTGAATTTGGTCGTGTAACCAGAGAACATACACCCACTATTTTACCCACACCCTGTCAAAGGGGAGACTCCTCAATCCTGTGCTACTGGAAGAGTTTACTAGGAAGAATTGTGGAAGAATCGCAGCTAATGGCTCATCCGGAAATGTTTTCAATATCCCCGATATTTCCTCTCGGTGTTTATGCGGGTTCAGTGGCTGCATAAGAATCATCCTTCATCTTTCCACTTCACCTGCGTTTTTCCTTTTTGAATAACCTCTGTGCAAAATGTACCCTTGCAAAATTATTGGAAAAGACTTTAAAAAAGAAACCTAAATCACTCACCTGGATACACGCCAAGGGCTCATTTGTCCAAATCGAATAGCCGCCAACTAAATATATTCTACCATTGTGGACGGCGACTCCAGACTCATTTTGACCTAAAGCAAAAAAGGAAATGGAAACCACTTTCAGTGTGTAATTAACCCTTTTAACACCAAACGCTGGAGTTCCGGAATACGATGGAAAAGCACTTGTCAGGAACTTGACTGTTTCAGACTTCACAGCGTGAACAGTGACGGTGAAGCGTGAGGGCTGTTCTTTGCTCTCCGTGGGAGCCCCGTCCACAGAGATACCCCAGGGGAGCAATAAACTGAGGCTGCGCAGGGGCCCATCTGCCGTCTCCTCAACGGCACACGTTTTCCTACGCCTGTACTTCACAGGGGATAGGAAAGCTCCCTGCCGGCCTCAGCTGTTATCACACAGGCACATCCAGAGAGACGCGTCCTGCCCACACCGGCTCACTCCCCATTCCTCCAGCTAGGAGGATGCTGAACATGGCAGAAGCTGCTCTGCAAGCTCGTTCCCACCAAAGGATAAATACAGCCTAAAAAAATACCTGCACCACACGGTGCAACAGGCACATCTACCGCCAGCTGCAGAGATGCAAAGGCTTAGGTGGCTTCTTCAGGGGCAGGTTGTGCAAACAACCCACCGGGCTGTATCTGAGGAGTGGCTTGGCTGTCATCTCGCAGCACCCAGTGGTATCAGGTCAGCTCCAGGACAAGGGTGCCTGTGGTGCCAGTGCTTCTGCAGTTCTAAATCAGTCGGTGTCCTTCTCAAAGGCTGTCAGTTCCTCCAGCTAATACATTAATTAACCGGAGAGGAAAAGGGCTATGAAAAAACAGTTCTCTGACAATGTGTAACTCCTTTTTGATCTGTGCTTCTCTCCCCAGTGTCCGTGAAGTACTCTGATGACCTGACTGAGAAACCAAGCAACCCTTCTCCAGATCCCAGAGATTAAGAAACCCAACGCGACATCTTAAAAGCTGCTGCTAGAGCAGCTGTTAAACCCTCCAGGAGGAAAATGACATAAGGTGACTCTCTTCGTCAGATGTTCACTCCTCTGGTGTTTCTAGCTATCCTGAGCTTCTAGTTAAGCTCCTTTGTACCTTTTCAGTGGTAGATCTCAGAAATCAATACAACGCCAAATGGAAAAGGATGAAAAGTGAGGTGGGCTCAGCTCTAGGACTCCTACAGCAGTCTGCACTGAAACTCTGGCATCCAGCGCTGTTACTAATTGAGCTCTGAGCCTACTGCACGAGGGAACAGCTCCAATATTAATACTGTCCTGGAAATCCATCCTTTCCTGTAAAGCTACTGTTGGTGCTACTGTGGGAATGCGTCACACGCCTGTCTCCCTCAGGGATTCGAGGGGGTAGTCCATCTGGGAATCGTAGGCAATTTGGTGGGCTGGGGGGAGGGAGAGGACAGTGAGTTGCAGTGCTCTGCAAGCTCCTGCTGCCGCAGCCGTTCTTCCTGATGACAGGCAAGAGCAACTTTACAGGCGCTGTAGCTAACTGAGCTGCTCAACCCATCCCTGACAACAGAATCCCAAAGGCCCCTCCTTTCAGGTAACTTATTAAGATACAGTTTAGAAACAAGCAGCGGTTAATGGATTTCAATGAAAGCTTTGCCCTATAACACCAGCAAACGGCACTATAAAGTGACGTTATCACGGTAGACGCATCTGCCTGTTGTACACTCAAAGAGGGAGCTAAATCTATTGCTGCAGGCAAGCTTTTGGAGAATCAAAAATAAGTACCTGTAATGCTATGACAGATTTTTTTTTTAATTGCTTAGTTAAATTTATGTGCACCTTCTTAAAAATGTAGTCTACAACCTCCTAAACCAAATGTTCAGTACAGCACAGTGCCAGAACAAAAATCAGAAGTGTCTTGCTGGCCGATGATGGGCCCTACACCAGAAGCAATTGCAGCAAAGTCATGGAGTTCCGCAAACTAAAGGCATCTAAAGGGAAAAGAGCTGATGTTTTACCTTAAGAGTAGTGAGTTTCCCCCTTTGGGGTACGGTACTCGCCTGTCAGCATGTTGAAGCTGCAACGCGTCCACTGGTCGGCGTCTATGCTGTAGGAGTCTATGTGCCGAACCAGGATCCGATCGTTGTTGTAGTCGAGATCATTCCCACCTAACACGTAAAGTTTCCTCTGGACAGCAGCCATGGAGTGATACACTCTCCTCTGCAGCATCGGGCTACGGCTTAGCCACGTGTTCTGAAAAGAGGGAGAACTGCTCAAAGACATACCTACGTCCGTAGCAGTGCAGTACTAGTAGCAGGTTACTGGTGTTCTCCTCGCCCTGGGCCAGAAGTCACAAGAGTACGTGCTTGTGTTGTTCGGACGTTAAACATCCGCGTTGTCTGTAACACTGACGAGACAGACTGGACTTTCGACACCTGGTTTACCGTTCTCACATTTAAATTAATTAAATTAACGGTATTTCTTGCTCTGTGTTTTTTTCTGTTTAGCTCATCAGGTTTCAAAGCTTTCCTTCTTCTTTATAATTCAGTAGCAAATCCTCTTCAGGCAAGATTTTTAGATGCCTCCTTGGTATACAGCACCAAAATTAGCTGTACCCACTAGCTCTGTTGTGAAAGAAGAGGGATCCCTTCTACCTTTCGCCGTTCAGAACCTTATTTGATCTTATCCTTGGGGATTGAAGCAACAGGGAAAAATAATTTCCTAAAGAATATTCTCCAGTGATTCATGAATTTGGTTTAATGCCAACCCTCCATTTGTGGGCACTTGCAAAGTAGCATCCCCTTGTGTATTTTTTTCCTGGGTACCAATATTCAAGAATTCTACCTGTTCAGGGGAGGGGCAAGAAGACACAGAAGAAGAGGGATTAAAGCACGGTATTTTCAGCAATTGCTCCTGCTATGCTTACCAAACCAAACAACCCAGCAAGGGATGAGATTAATTCATTTAAGTGGAAGAAGTTAAAATCCACCAGGAAATTCTTTGCGTTACCGCGTGCTTGCGGCAACTCAGGAGCTTCCACTGCCGCTGCCTTTGACCCTCCGCGATACACCGCTGTACGCTGCAACGTGTAACAGTCGGATATTAGGCATTAATGCTTGCATTAGTAGTCCAGTCTCTTAACAGCAGACTATAGACACCATCTGCTTCGCGAAGCCTGCCTGCATCCCCTGATTATATCCGTAGCTTCCTCCGCTGCAGCGCCTGCCAGGTGAGCCGCGACGCGCGGCAGAGGCAGAGAAACAGCGGGGCCTGGTGGGGTCAGTTCTAATAAGGCGGCGTGTGAATACTAATGAGTGGTGGGGAAGCAGAGGTCACCCCAGCCGGCTTGTTGGCAGGTAGCTGTGTGCTCCGTGGCAGATGGCAGGCATTATCGACTCGCCACAAAGGCCGCGCGCAGAAGCAAGCGCCGGCGCTGAATGATGGAGTTATTGAGATTCCGGGCGAGATGCAAGCAGATGTGATGGTTTCCAGTACCCACTGTAAACAATATGCCAGCAGAATTTTTAAAAAGAGCTTGTGTGTACAAACACGAAGCGCACCTCATTTGAAGGATGCGAGCACACACTTCCCCCGTAACCCTTTACACGCCGGGCCGGCTTCCTCCC